TTATTCCACAATCAGAATGTCCATGCATATTGTTCTTCAAGAATAGTTATTCCAGAATAACTATGTCTGAAGAACTCCACCTGCAGACAAGTCCTCGTGTCTATACCTCTAGGAGCTCCCACTGAGGCAGTGCACCACACCAAACCCATTGCATGCCAAATTGCACCCTTGAATTTTGTCTCCAGATGTCTCTCTCCTAACTTGAAAGAGTGATGAGTAAATGAAAAAGGAAGTTCACAATAGAAACCCATAGGCAACCTTACAGCTGGCACTGGCAATTCAGCTATAATAGAGAAAATACAGGCAGCGGTGTATTTTCTGAGCCTGAGTTTGGGATTATGCACATCAGTCACAAGTGGTGAAGATATTAAATTTATGCAGGTCATCCTAAGCAATTGTTTCAAGATATTTAAATTTTCTTTTTATATGACTTTTGCATCCCTCTGCTTGTAAAGTCAGACTCCCTTATCATTTAAATCCAAATGTACAAGCCCAAGAGGGAGAGGAAAATTATAATTAATATATTTTTAAAATCTCTAAAAACTACTACAAAGGTTTTCTATAGGTAATAATATTGCAAATAATAGGTTACTATTTAAACCAAGGCAAGAAACAAGCGCTATGTATCTCCCTGGAAAAGGGAATGCAGAGCTTTTCAGTTATATAAAGCTCTGGTTTCCTCAATGGGTCACAAGAGATCAGTGAAATCTGTCACTGGTGCAAGACTGAATATTATCCCTCCTACTTCTGAGAGTCATTATTTTGGGGGTAACAGTTAATTTCATATTTAAGGGGAAAAGGATGAAACATTTCTGTGGTAGGTTGTTTTAAGAAAACTTTGGAGTTGATGAGAGTTGAGGAATGTTAGCAGCCCTAGGGGTGACAGAGTAGTGAGTAGAATGCAGGCAAACGTATTTAGGTACCCATGAGGCAGCCAAAAGTTAAAGATAAATGTGATTTATTACATGGCTCTGGAATTTATCACGACTGTCATCACCACATGGATGCACACATGTTCTTCTCCTATGCATATTTTAATTTGTAGTTTAGAAAAACATCAACCTGCTGAGGATTAGTATCTTGGGAAAAGTCACAAAATAAATTATCTAGATGAAATAATGCCACATTTGTTCGTTGGTCAAATGTCAGTCTTTTAACACACGTCAGTCTTTTAACACACAAAGGACTTGTTCTTGTCACTCAATTGCCTGGCACAGTTTTGGGGAAACTATAAAAAGCACAGGTCTAATAACAACATTGTATCTTTCCAATGACAACATAAAGAATCGTCATCGCTTTGATGTTGTAGTGAATACAAAGAAGCAAAACACCCTGCTAATGTACTTAGTAACTAGTTTTGTTTGCTGATCAAAGCAGGTACACAAGCGAAAACTACATACTCTAGTGTTGAAAGAGTAAATACTGACATTATAGCTTATAATCAGGGCTTCTGTGTTGGTTTTTTTTAGTTTATTAATTTCATTTTGGGGGTTTACTTTTTGCAATTTTCGTTTGATGTGATGTCCAAAAATTGGGTGTTTTCAGGGCTTGCTCTCTGTATATACTAGAATGAGTAATGTATATTATTTTACATTACTCATTACAGTAGCTCTGTAATGAGTAATCTCTTTGTAATGTTCCCTAAAGCCCTTTAACGTACTGGTTCAAAGAGCACTAAGTTAAAGCACAAGAGGGAACCTTTAATGCATGCCAGCAGGGCTACCCAGCAACACATTGGTGTGCATTAGAAATCACACCTCCATAGGGCAGTGGTTTTCCCAGAATCCTGTACTTACTACCATACTATGCCTGCTACTTATTACAATCACTTATCTGCTAACATCCTCTCTCCTGTTTTACTCCATGGGTTGTCTAACATCATGTGTTCAGATTTTTAGGACAGGGCTTTTATTTTTGTTCTATATGCATACAACACTCAGTATAACAGATCCCCAGTCCACGACTTGGGCTTCTAGGCACTGCCACAATACCAACAAATGAAATAGTAATATCACCATCTCTTTGGGCTGAATTTCATATTACTGTGAATTTCTCTTCTCTCCTCTAAACAAACATAAAATGAATAACTGTAACCACCATTTCTTATTCTCTAACATCATTACATAGAAGTCTCATCAAACTGATGAATACAGCACAAAATAAGAGAGTATTGTTCTAGAGGAAGATCCCTGATCCTCAGCAATACAAAAATGCCTTACTGCCTGAGGATCTAAAACCTGCACTGTTCATCTAGGGACAGATTGACAAAGATATTTAGGTGGCTAAAGATGCAGACAGACACCTGAGGGATTTACAATAGTCCCTCAGTAGGTTCGGCACCTAACTCAAATTAAAGTTAATGGAAGTTAGCGCCTAACTCAGGCACTTTTGAAAATCCCTCTAAGTATCTATCTGCATCTTTAGCCACCTAAATACTTTTCTCAATCTGCCCCTAATAATCATTGGGGCACCAGAGATTGGAAAAGTTGGAACTGTTATATTATTGTCCATGTGGATTTTCTATATATATTCATGTGGGTTTTGGCGGGTAAATATGTATATTTGTGTACATATTAAGTAAACACATTAATTTCTACATTTTGCTACTTAGTATGCACAAACCTGACTGGTGATCCATACCAGTGCCAAGCAGTTAGCTAATCGTGAGTGACTGAGAGATTTTAAAGTATATTAAGCAGATTTGGCACTCCCTCAAACAACAACAGAAAAGCTCACTTGCATAATGCCTCATCTCTACCATTCATTCTGTTCTACACAGGCTGGTGCAAACAAAATGAAATAAATTAAATAACATTTTTAAATAATAACTACAAGTGAGTTTTATCAACAGTCACTCATCCAAGACCTGCATGGTATAACTGAGTTCAGAAGAAGTGTCTCCAATGCAGATTAATAAAATTCAAGTAATTAAAGCTAAATGAAAACAATCCAATCCATATAAAACACACGTAACAGACATCTCTCCTGTCCCTTCCATATGGGGAACAGCAGGGCCTGCTTTAGGAAGTGCGGGGCCCGATTCGAATAGTTTTGACGGGGCCTCGGCAGGGATGACTCACCCGGCGGCGCTCCGGGTCTTCGGTGGCACTTCGGCAGCTGGTCCTTCACTCGCTCCGGGTCTTCGGCGGCACTGAAGGACAAGGCCCCGATCCCCCAACCGGAGCCCTGGGAGGAGCGTGGCAACACCCCCGGCACCGATCCCCCGGCCGGAGCGCCGGGAGGAGCGTGGCGAAACCCTCGTCCTTGATCCCCCGGCCGGAGTGGCGGGCGGAGCACGGCGAAACCCCTGGCCCTGATCCCCTGACCGGAGCCCCGGGAGTAGCGCGATGAAACCTCCAACCCCGATCCACGGGACAGAGCGGCAGGCGGAGTGCGACGAAACCCCCGGCCCCGCTCCCCCAGCTGGAGCGCCGTGAGGAGTGCGGCGAAACCCCTGGCCCCGCTCCCCCGGAGGATCAGAGCTGGGGGTTTCGCCACGCAGCACCCGCCGCTCCGGCCAGGGAATCAGGGCAGGGGGTTTAGCCGTGCTCCGCCCACCGCTTCGCCTGGTGCAGCAGAGCCGGGGGTGTTGCTACGCTCGTCCTGGGGCTCCGGTCGGGAGATTGGGGCCATGGGTTTCGCCGTGCGGCGCCCGCCGCTCCGACCGGGGAATCGGGACCGGGGGTTTCGCCACACTCCGCCCGCCGCTCCAGTTGGGGAATCGGGACCGGAGGTTTGATGTGCTCCTCCCGGCGCTCCGGCCGCGGGATCGGGGCCGGGAGGTTTTCCGCGCTCTTCCCGGTGCGCCAGCCGGGGGAGCGGGGCCCGGCTCTCTGGCTGGGGGAGTGGGGCCGGGGGTTTCGCCACTGAAATGCCGCCTAAGACCCGGAGTGAGTCAAGGACCCGCCGCCGAGTGAGTAAAAATTAAAAAGGCGCCTAAGTTAGGCGCTCTTCTAGGCGTGGGCGCGGGGTCCGATTCTAAATCCCAAAACCAGCTACAGCCAAAGGGGTAAGGGCTAAAGTCAGCGCCTTCCAACCTCACCTCCCCACCAGTTCCAGGGGAACAAGCCCATTATACTGGTCCCAGAAACCTCTCCTACAACTCCTTTACATTGGCAGCAGCAGCTGCCAGGTGAAGTCTTCACATATCACCATTCGCTCAACTCTGTAACTTGGACTCTTGATTTATATTTATTTCATTTGCTATAATACTTTTCATTGCTGTCCCCTTTCATCCCAAGTGCAAGCAGGTGGACACCCCCACACAACACAACACACATCATGCCTGAAACAGAATCTCCACTCTTTGTAGTCTAAACATACCCCTTTTCCTGGGTTTTTTGGCTTTACTGGCCAATCATACAACAAGAAAAATGCAAACCTCAGCCTACGGGTGTTCCTATAGTTTCCCTGTAGAGACCTATCTGACCTAGGCCCCAGTTTCCTGTTACAAAGAGCCACTCTCATCTTCCTCATATAAAGGGTTCAGTCAGCAAGCTGCACCTGCCACAGTGAGTCAGCAGAACTTCAGTAGTTTTATGCACAGCTCCACCACCTCCTAAAGAAGGTGGATCACCAGAAGAATCATGCCACCTTGTTACACTCCCCTGCCCTTTGATATCACTGCAATACTTTAGCTGCCCACCATCACTCTCTTCCCATTACGTTTTTACCATCTTTCTTTCTTTAATTCACACAACCCCTTCCCCACCATTCTTCACTATCATTTTAACCCCAACAACTGCCCTCCCAAAATCCCTAATACTAGTGAAACAAATATATAAAGAAATATACATCAAAACAATAAAAACCCTCCATAAGCCAAGTGTCAACCACCATCCTAATTGACCAGTTGGTACACTGCATCCCTTTCCCCAACACTTTGTCTGTTTCGACCCTGCATACTATTCAGAACAGGGATGGCATCTTCCGCTGTATTTGAAAAGCAACTAGCACATTTCGATTGCTAGTACAACAGAAATAAAAAATTACTCACTAACCTTTTGTGCCTCTGTTCTTCCTTTGTTTCTAAAAAGACAAATGGGAGAAAAAGAATTGAAAAAAATGCTTGATATCAAAATATAGCATATCTGAGAATTCTCACAGATCTGTTCTACTGACCTATTTCCTGTTGTTCCATCAACAAAATAAGGGCATAATAGCAGGAGACAGCAGGTGTAGGGAGAGCTTCTGTAGCAGCCCATCAAAGGCCCCAGCCACCAGAAGCCCTCCGATAGCAGCCAGAGCAGCCTTCAGACGCTTGTCTACCCACTATCATGATAGACTTCTTCACATGGCCTATGATCTCTGCTCCAGTTACATGACCAACTTTTGTCCAGTCACCTCCTCTACCTTTACCCTCGCCGATCTTTACTCTTTCCTTCCTCGTCTCACCTCATCAATTTCACCCCTCTTCTTTTTACCTAATTTCCCATTTAAACCCTCAGGCACAAATAAAAACAAAACAAAAAATAAAATCCATGCAATAAACATGACACGGGTCAACCTTAACGATAAGCTGTTATTTGTATGTTGCATCCCTTTCCACCACCATTTAACAGTCTTTAGTCTTTTTAGATTGCAAGTTCTTGGGGAACTGTGTCTGCCTATATATTTGTACAGTGCCTAGTACACTAGGGCTCAAGACTGATTGGAACCATTGGGTCTTAGCACAATTAAATGAACAAATAAAAAGAAAGAGGAAAAGCTGACTAGTATTGCTAAACCCAAAGCTTCATCTTCTATGTCAGATCAGATTCTTATTTAACAAAATAAAGAAGAGTTGTGCTGACAGCGTTTATATTTTTAATTACATTAATATTCATGGACACACGTGTGCATTAAAAAGGGGCTCATTCTGAACAGTTAGGTCAATAGGAGGGGTGAGATTCTGCGCTGCACCTCTGATGGGATGTCTACACTGCAAAAAAAAATGGTGTGTTCTTAACTTGGGTTATCTACCCTGTATTAACTAACACAAATTAAAATAGCAGACAAGATGTGGTAATTTGGCTTTTAACTCGAGTTGGCCTGTAAGACAGCCAGGGGGTGAACTTGAGCTCTTAACTCAAGTTAAAAGCTAAATTGCCATGTCTTCACTGATATTTTAACCAGAGATAGTTAATGTGGATTAGCTGAGTTAAAGAACACATCTTTTTTGCAGTGTAGACATACTGTAAGAGAGAAAGTACAGAACTAGCAAGCCTTGGGGGGTGGAGGTTAATGTGGCTTTAAGCTATTCTTGCACCCTCCTGATTCTAGACAGCTTTGGGAAAAGGGTCTGTTGAAATCATGGCAGCCTGTCCCTGACAGCCTATGTGTGACAGTGCTTCCCTTCCCCTCCTACCCCACCCCCCCCACACACACACACACACCGGGGCTTGCAAGGGTACCCCAGAGGACAGCTTATGGCTGTCTTCCCTAATTCCACTAGCTGTGCCAGAATTCTCCCAGAGTCGAATCCACACCTTTTAGAGCCCTTTCACACAACTTTGATCATTTTACCTGGAGTAAAGGGCCCAGAAATATTTGATATTAAAGCAAAATAATAATACACCTAGACCAACAGTTCTCAAACTTTAAAATCTAGCATATGAGATCTAAAACTCAAAAGTACTTAGTGTAACACCCTTATAATATTAATCAGTGTAGTTATAATGGATTCTACTCTGATAAACCAATCCATGTATCACCTGACTGCAGCTGGTATGTCATCTGTGGTTACATATACTGCCTTTTGAGAAATCCTGACCTTGACAATTTCTGCACTGCTGAATGTACCTCTTTTGTGATGGTGGAGGAGGAAGGAATTCTAAGGTGGGTGAGGCAATATCTTTCAAGCTTGTCTCTCTCACCAACAAAAGTTAGTCAAATAAAAGATTATTACCTCACTCACCTTGTCTTTCTAATATCCTGGGACTAGCACAGCTACAACTCCTCTTACACAGTCAATTCCATAGACTGATTACTGACTTGTCAACCCCAGGCATTCAAAAATCATGAGCCTCAAAAAATTATAAAATATTTTTCCAAAAATCTCATGATTTTAAACCAATAAATTTGGAGTTATTTCATCTCCTGATTTCCAAGCCTTTAGGGTGTGGGGAGGGGTTCCCATTTTGAAACTTTTCTCTGCAACCATGAAGTCTAGAAACTTATCTTATAAAAATAAAGCTGAGATTTTCATATAACCACTTGACTCCAAAAGTTAAGGTTCTATGAAAAAAAAAAAAAAAAAACACAAATAGCGTAAGACTAGTGATAAAATTGCAAGAATTGGCAATATGCCAGATGCTGTGTGCATTAATATTTTCTCCTATTTGTTTTACAATTATTGCATTTCAGTTTTATCCTCTTTATTTTCACATTATGGAAAAGGTTGAAAACAATGTCTGATCACTTTTCACTATATCCTTCATCATCACAATCAAGTCCAGCTACCCAGTTAGTCTTCTCCTTTCCAAACAGACCTAACTTTTGGCTTGTAATTCTTGCCAATCCTCTGATTATTTTTGATGTGCTGCTCTGGACTTTTTCAAACAATACTATATCTTTTCTGAAACAAGCATAACCTAAAAACAATAGTCCAGGTGAATAAAATCAATTACTTCTGGCATTTTCAGTGTTTCTCTTCTGAAGGTAAGTCCTGCCCTATCTGCTGTAGTCATTAAAAGATGTTGTTAGATGAGAAACATTCTCCACTATTGTTTATTTATTAACAAGCCTAATTCAAAGTTGTTTAATATGCTCAAAGAAAGTCACAGGGCAACCAAAAAGTTATTCTTACCTTCCAACACTACAGATAGCAGTTAAATTCGCTCTCTCTTCCACTTGTCTCTTCATCATGGTGAGTTGATCTTGGACCTAAATGTGATAAATAACTGTTTAGCATGGTTAAGAACAGCAGTTATCTCAAGACAATTATGAAAACATTGGTATTTCTGCTTTTATAACAACTTCTTGCATCTTCTGGTAAAGACTTGATTAATTAAGGGATGTAGTAAAAAAAAAACATTGGGGAAATGGGTCCCCCTGCTGCTTTGCTTCAACAGTTTTGTGAAATAAATGCTATGGAAAAGCTGAAATTTTTATTATTTGTAATTATTTTGAGATCAACACCACTTATATGCTTTAAAAAACAAAAATTGAAACAGAGTACGGATCTTGCTGCCAGCAGACGAAGGGTAGGAGGAATGAGAAGCAGCAATAGCAAGTGGCTGTGCAGAAAGTCACCGCTTGCTCACATGCAGTTTCACTTGTTTGCTTTGTTTTATCTATTGGTTGGTGGACAACAGTGTAAGACTTTGTAGAAGAAATTAGTATTAATGAGAAATTTGTAAATGGAGGAGAGACCGCAAAGGTGATAGCCATTCTAACAGTGCCAATATTCTATTATAATATCCTCTTTGTCTTATGCCTTCTATGTCTTGAATTTCACTGATATATGCTTATGAATACATAGTTGGCTTGCTCACAGTATAAATTTTAAGGGTCACATCCTGCATCTCTCTCTACTCCACCAGCTCTGATCAGTCACAATTATTACATATACTTCTGCATACCTGTAGAAGTAATTTTAAGTGTGTTTTTCATTTAGAAGTCACCTAGTTACAGATCATTTTTTATATTTCTTTTTTACTATCGATTCTAAAACATTAAAAACTCATGCTACTAAAAACAGTTTTCTAACAGGTTGAAAGCTGAATTTACTAAAATGGCAACGGACTTCAGAATGTTGAAAAACAAAAATTCTAAGCAGAGCAACAAAACAATTTAGTGCAATACAAAAACCACATCCCACTGTTAACAAAAGTCAGCTGATACTCAGCTATTCACTCTATTAATAGCTGTTTTTCCTACTGAATAAAGTATTGTTAAAATGATGGACTTTTCTATTAACTACGCTTTTTGCTATTGCTTTAGCAGGCAAGTGGTTTCATTTCCTTCCAAGCAATAACCTTGAGCCTCACCTTTAACTTCACATCAAAGCCATCATACCACAGTTTCAAAGGAATGAGTTCAAAGAAAGATAAAGAAACGAAAGGAAGAGCCTTGGATAACACAAGTAAATTCCTAGCACACTGAAGATACTCCCTTTTGCAACATTTAACAAGAAAAAATTTTGTCCTTGAATTTGTAAAGATAAGTTTTAATTATCAGTCAGACTTTATTTAAATTATTGAACCAAATATCTCTACTGCTCTGTAGTACGTGAATCAATGCAGCTGCTAAAATTGACAAAATGATGAGGTGAAACTAAAAACTGAAACAAAAAGGAAACTTGTAGTTGCATTTTGCAGTATTAAAATCAATGTCAGTCATCCTCCACAGAAACAAGCAATTAAATAAAAAGGCTATTTTTCCCCTCCAAGTATCTGAAATGTCTGGAAACTGGCTAACAGATCAATAGGACAGCTTTGAGGCAGTTAGAAATTAGCCATTCTGTCTTGGAAACACTAGACTAGAAATTATTGAACTTGAAGAAACTCTGCCCAAACTTTTCCAAAATTCATGCCCCCTCTCAAACACATTAATTGCAATTAAAACTGCACACCCTATCCCTCTCAGACCCTGGTGTTAATATCAAGGATTAGCTTTTTTCCCAAGTTTGTAAATCCTCCGTCACTGGCTTCAGGAGCATTTTCATCTGATTTTTTTTTATTTTTTTATTCCTGATGTGTGTATCAATCTGGAGTCTTCCAATGGGAAAAAAAATGAAATAATTCTTGGAAAGTAAAACTGGAGATAAAAGTGAACTGAGTCTAGAAACGCTGGTTTAGCAGTATCTGGAAGCAGAGGTGGATTCAAAAAGAGACAAATAAATTCTGCATACAAAAATATGAACTTTGGAACTGTCAAGGATCTGTGGAAAGTCTTTGCAGACCCTCTTATGCTATGGAACACAGTCTGAGAACCACTACATCAGGGAGTCACTAAAACAGGTAGGGTTTCTATCAGCTGTTAGGTAAGATGGATTGCATGTTCTTGGCTACAGGTTTGTCTTCACTGCTAAAAAAGGGTGTGTTTTGCCACATGATAATTAATATGCATTAGCAACCCCACTGTAAAATCCCAGTGGAGAGAGGGCATTGTAGTTTTACCATGAGATAAACTAGGCAAGGTCAATCATCTGCAAGGAGTGTAGCGTTCGTAGTGTGTACAGAAGATCTTCAATCTATCTCACCTCCTTTCTGTAGGAAACCATCTAGACATGCATTTGTTATTACACCTCTTAAACCCACACAGATCTTCCAGAGGCCAAAAAGCCATTCCTTGAAATTGGTGGCATAGGTGGGAGCACACATCATAAGAGTCAGGATGGAGAACGGTTTTCAGAAATGGCACAGGCAATAAAGGGGTAGCAGGTCTTCAGAGTGAGTATGCTCATCCTTACTAGAGTAAGGGTTAAAACTTGGGTGTCACAGCTGCATACAGCAAATATAGAAAAATATTTGAAAGGAACAAAAAATTACAATGAAATGCCGGTTGATGCCTTTTTTAATTTTTGGAGGGGCGCAGGGTTATTTACAAATTTTAAGTAAATGTCATGTGATAAAAGGTGCTGGATTAGTAAAGTATTAGTTAAAATGGGGATGAGGAGGTTGGGATGCTCATTGGGACCCTACAGTGAGGCTGAGGACCAGTATGCAGCAGAGGCCAGAGTCAGCCAGGTGTTCTGCTGCTCAGCCCTGGCCTTTGGTTCTGCTCCCCAGCCCATATTTGTGCCTCCCCACAATGAGAAGCAGCTGCTTCCTCTGGTGAACCACCTGTGATTCAGACTACATTTACACTATGGTGACTCTACTGCCATAGCTATGCCAGCACAGTCCCGTAGTGGAGGCACAGCTTTTCTGTCACTGTAGGAACACACCACCCAGGGGTAGACACAGCAACTGGGAGCAAGCCTGGGGTGCTAGAGTGCACTGATTAGCAGCAGAGCACCTGGCTACCTCCGGGTCCCCAGACCCCTGCAGTCAAAGCCCAGCTCCCTGGCCCTAGCAATGGCTCCCTACAGCCCTTTCCCACCTCTTGTTCTCTCTCTGCACCAGGGCCGCCCGGGGGGGGAGGGGGTCAAGTGGGGCAATTTGCCCCAGGCCCTGGGCCCTACAGGGGCCCCCACAAGAATATAATATTCTATAATTTTGCAACTTTTTTTAATGGAAGGGGCCCCCTAAATTGCTTTGCCCCGGGCCCCCTGAATCCTCTGGGCGGCCCTGCTCTGCACTACTGTTACTCTTTGGGAATGTGTCTTCTGACTCACAGTGTGACTCTACAACTGTGCATAAACTCCTCGACCCTGGAACTAGGCAGCCAAGCTCCCGGGAGGGGTGCCAAGGGGTTCTGCAGCGGGCTGGGGCCAGGGAACTAGGCGGGAGCTCCGCTGCTCAGTCTATCCCGCCCCCACACACATAGAGCCTGCCTAGGAAGCGTTCCCATGCCCAGCCTTAGGACCCCGCAGAGCAGTGAGATCCCGGCGCAGGGCTGCAGGAGGATGCTGAGCGCAGAAAAGAGCAAGGTCCTGGCCCCAGGCAGCGCAGCCTGATAGGAACAGGAGGCGGGGGGACGCTGCGACCAAGCCCGGCTCTGCCCCGCAGTCAGTGCAAACCGGGCAGGGACGCGGCTCGGTACCTCAGCGGCGGGGGGCGCTGCAGCCGCGGCGCAGGGGGTGAGCAGCAGCGCCGCGTTGCTGGTCACGTCAATGAGCCGGGAGCAGGCGGACCCCGCGCGCGAGCTGCCATCGCTGCTGCTGAGGCTGTTGCTGCTCATGTTCCCCGGGGCTCTGCTCCGGCACGTTCCATTCGAACCTTCCCTGCGGCTCTCTGCTCGCGCCCCCAGCGCAGAACGTTACCCAGGGCGCGGTCGCCATGGCGACGCGTATACTGAGGCGGCAGCGCCTCCGCAGCTGTCGCGAGACGTGTCCAAATCGCGTTGCCCTGTCGGCGTGGCCGAGGCGGGGCTTTCCCCGGGCCGCGCAGCCTCAGGCTCACCCGGCTCAGGGGCGGGTGCTGGCCGCGCTCTGGGTTCCGCGATGGGCAGCAGCTCCCCCACCAGGCGCCACCCCCTGCTCTGCGCACCGCAGCCGCCCTAGGGGGTGCAGGAGGCGCTGGTAGCTGGGTGCTCCCGCCCCTGCCCAAGCTAGCGCTGCCGCTGCCCTAGTGCAGAGCCGGCCTCAGCCGCGCCCCCCTGTGACCGGGAACCAGGTGCACTGGCCTGGGATGTGAAGCGGGGCGGGCTGGACCAGGGGTTCTCACAACACATGTTTTGGTGGCCGCACTGACCAGTTTTCCTAAAATATTTAATTTACTTTAGGAAAAACAAATAAATATGCACATACACACATCTAAATCATTGTGATTTACTTATGTAGGGGGTTTTTTTGCACTCAATAATAAAAATAAGGTACAGTTATCTCTATTCTTACTTTGGATCTAAACAGAATAGAAACAGAAGGTGCTTTGTACATTCTTGTCTTTTTTCTTATTGTTTGGGTTGCGCTTTTTTTTTTTTTAAGACTTGCTAACTAGTAAGTCTGCTGTGAAAACAAATAATTAACAAATATCACTTATTAACAAATACCACTTTTCACAGCAGACTTACTCAGTCCTGGCAAGCCTGGGGAAAATTAAGTACTGGATGGGGAGGCGGTTATGGAAGCAATGGGGCATTAGGGAAGGCAGCAGGGGCCAGGGGTGATTGGAGAGGGTGAGCTTGGAGCCACAGCACATCATCTAACAGCCAGGGAATGGAGCCCAAACCCCTGTGGGTGTAGCCTGCCATGCACCACCCCAGGGTGGAAGTCCAATCCCCCCACCCCAGGAAGGTGGGGAACACACACCGGCTGTCTGCTCCTCCAGCTTTTCTATCTCCAGAGGCAGCCAGGGCCCAAGCACTGCTGGCAGCCCTAGGGAAAGAGCCACTGCTTGGCCCCTCCCCACCCCACCCCACCCAGGAGGCTGTGGCCCCAAGAAAAGCCCCCTGGTGGCCACATTTGAGAAACACGGGGCTAGGCAATCTGATGGTTGCTTTTTTGGCCTCAGGTGCCCTTGATCCGTAAACACGGCTTTGTCGCGTCTCGTTCAAGACCACTGTGTTGCCAACTCCTCTAATTGTACTGGGAGCTGTGCAATGGTGGTGATTCACAAGGCCCAGCTCTTGGATTCAAATGGTCCATGGCCTAAAGAAGAGCTATGTGTAAATGTGAGAGTTCGTCTCTCTTACCAACAGAAGTTGATCCAATGAAAGATATTACCTCACCCACCTTCTCTCTCATGAAAATCCCGGCTTTCATTTAAATACATGAAAAAGGAGGTTTATAGCTCAGAGAAGACAGACATACCCAGATGCAAGCATTAAACCCCACTCTGACCAGTGATCCAAACTGAGCGCTATTCACCGCCACCACCTCTGGTTTCTTGTCATTATCCAAATCATACAATCCTTTGTTTGGCTGTCTTTTGGGTCCCAGGTGGAAAAAGTGAACACCAGTGGCTTACAGTTTGGTTGTGTAGTTCATCTCAGTCTACACTGGACAGGGAAAATTAGGTTATACTGTGGCAAGAATTGCATTTTATCATGGTTTTGGCTGGCTACGGAACTGACGGAGTGCTAGAGCCAACAATAGCAAAGCTCTATTTTACCAGGAACCATGACAGTTCCTGAGGTTAGCAAGTTAAAACAATGTGTGTGTAGGAGATGATCCTGATAAAATTAGAGCTGCCCAGAAAATTCAGGATAGATGCCAACAGGTAAGGTAAAATTTAAATAAGATTATGCTTCTGTACAGACATGCTTTCTTCCCTATTGGCAAGTGCATTGTGAAATTTATGGTCCCAATCATTTATCACTTTCATATTGCAGCTATGACTCCAACAACATGGGGAAAAGTTGCCATGCAAGAGTGCCACCCTAGTCTTTTCTTAAAATTAACCCATGAGTTTGGGAGAGCAGTGCTTCAATCACTGTTCAGCTAGCAGGGCTCCTCAGTGAAGTCACCACAAGCTAGTGTCCTGTAGTAGGGCACTATGGAGGTAATGTCAGGAAGGAGAAAAGGTGATTATTCACCTATAGCAAGAGTGGGTAAACTACGGTCCGGGGGCTGCATCCGGCCCTTCAGATGTTTTAATCTGGCCATCGAGCTCCTGCCAAGGAGTGGGATCTGGGGCTTGCACCGCTCCAGCCAGGGAACGGGGTCGGGGGCTTGCCCTGCTCCGTGCGTGCCATGGCTCTGCATGGCTCCCGGAAGCAGCGGCATGTCCCCCCTCTGGCTCATACGTGCAGAGGCAGCCAAGGGACTCCGCACGCTGCCCCTGCCCCAAGTGCCACCCCCACAGCTCCTATTGGTTGGGAACCATGGCCAATGGGAGCTGCAGGGGCAGCGCCTGCAGACGGGGCAGGACACAGAGATGCCTGGCCACATCTCTGCGTAGGAGACGGTGGGGGGACATGCCGCTGCTTCCGGGAGCTCCTTGAGGTAAGCGCCACCCAGAGCCTGCACCCCTGACACCCTTCCATGCCCCAACCCCCTGCCCCAGCCCTGTTCCCCCTCCCACCCTCAGAACCCCTCAGTCCCAGCCCAGAGCACCCTCCTGCACCTCCAACCCCTCATCCCCAGCCAGAGGGCTCACCCTCCCCCCCCTGCACCCCAACCCCCAATATCGTGCGCATTCATGGCCTGCCATACAATTGCCATACCCAGATGTGGCCCTCAGGCCAAAAACTCCTCCAACTACATTGCCCCCTACACAATTGATTCTCCGCATTGGAATCCAGCTGGAAACAGTTCCTGGAGGTAGAAAAAAAATGCAGGGTCTGTTAGTGGATGTGGGATAGACTATGCTCTCCATCTCAATAATGTTGAAATTGAGGAATCTACTTCTGCTTTAAAATGGATCTTTGGTTGTGTATCAAGGAACAGGACTCCTACAGTGTGGCTCTGTGCAGGCAATACAGTTGGGAACAAGAGTTACTGTAGGTATCTTCTTCTGGATAACATGATGCCAGCACTACTGTAGGGAAGTCCTAAGTAGCGTCACTAGAGTGCAACTGGGAATACCAAAGCTCTCTCCTCTTTTAACCAGAAGCCCTGACAGATCTTGGGCTTAAAAAGTAAAAGAAAAATGAAAGGCCCTTAATAAAACCAACAGTGATTTTATAGCAAAGTGGCGTCCCTACGGCATGCCCCCTCATGCTGGATGTGGCATTGTCGCAGCTGTGTCAGTTTCCCTCTTGTGTTCTTCAGCCTATTTCAGCTGTCAAAGTGGCCTGACCCTGCAGCCAAGACAATTCAAGAGCCTGCCCCTTTCTGGGTCACAGAGTCCCTACACATCCAACATAAATATAAAGACAACTAAGTCTTCAGCCCCAACCAAGTCCAGTTGGTCACTGCTCTCCTTCACAGGTGAGCCTCAGTTAGGATGCAATATCCTCACATAGGTCCTCAGGCTCTAGCGTTGCCAACCCTCCAGGATTGCCCTTGAGTCTCCAGGAATTAATCTTTAATTAAAGATTGTCATGGGACGAAATCTCCAGGAATACGTCCAACCAAAATTGGCAACCTTATCAGGCTCCTATATCTCACTCTATCCCATGGTCTAGGGCTAGCACAGTTCTCCACCTTCCCAGGGTTTCAGAAAGGCCATTGTCCCCCAGATTTCAGGCACTCCTCTGGAGCAGACTGCCAGCTTCTCTACCCTTCCAGCCGTCTTAGGGTGTATCTACATTTCAGCTGGGATGTGCGATTCCCAGCTTTCATAGACATGCCCATGCTAGCTATGCTCAAGCTAGTGCCTAAAAATAGCAGGAGTCTGCAGAGGCACAGCCCGCTCCTCAGTCTGACTGAGTACAATCCCACCTGACCGCCTTGGTATTTACTTGGGTGGCTAACCCAAGCTGCTGCCTGTACTGGCACTGACACACTGCTATTTTTAGGTGCTAGCTCGAGCACACCTAGCGCAGGTAAATCCCAGCTCAAATGTAGACATATGCTTGGCCTTCTATCAGACCCCTTCCTAGAGAAAGGAAACTCACTAAGTCTCCTCCCCTAGTTCTCCTCTCCCAATTGTCCTCCTCTTTTAAGTCCATCCCCTTCACCTGACCACACTCTCCCCAGGTGCAATCAGTGACATTTCACTGTCAGGCTCCCTTAACCCTTCTGGTGCATATATGGCGTTTACACCCCATCACATACACTCCTCTCAAGACTGCACCCGGCTTAGTACAGGGTCTTTCTGCCTGAAGTGTGGAGGGAGGAACACAGAACATCCTCTGGGTACTTTCTTCTTCCCTGTATCCCTTTCTTCTTGGGTGTCTTCCATCCACAAATGAGGCCACATCTTCTTGTCTTCCAAAAACTACTAGGAAATCCAACCTGGTCTTGTCTTTAGCATCTTGCTTTTTCTCTAGCAGGCCATCTGCAAGCTGTACCTCATTATCACCAGTCTCTCTCAATGGCTTTTCATTTCTGTCGAAACATCCTCAGTTTCCTTTGACCCATCTCTGACTTCACACAGCTCCTTTCCAGACCTCTGACTGTCCAGCTTCCCCACAGCCATACTATTCTCTGGGCACTATGGAGTCCCCAAATCTCTTTTCTTCACCCACTGAATGATTCTTTTCTCATGCTTTCCAATATGGACAGTTGCCTCTGCAGCTCCAACTGCACCTCCCACAGTTTGTGTTCCTGTTTTAGGAACTGCATGAGGACAGCCCGGATCTGCTTGGGCTGCTTCTTGCCACTGAAACAGAACCTCTCTCTAGTAGTTTTTGCTCTAGATACACAGACTCAGGTG